AAAATGAAAATAGCTGTCGTTCAATTAGGCTTAGAGTGCTTGTTCGTACCGTCCCCCAATGTTGCCGGATACCGTGCCGAAATTATGCCAGATTCAAGACTGTTTCAACCTTCGTATTGGCGTATCTTCTATTTTTTTTATGTATGAGATATTTTTGCGCTGATTTCATGAGTTGAGCTGAGAATGAAGCGGCAGTTAGCAATTTTTAGCAATTATTGCTCGACGTGTTGGGATATGAGAGGTTGAATTTTGCTGCGGAAAGGGGTTCAAGAAAAGTAATAAGCGCTAAAAAAAAAAAGCCTATTGACGCCAAATGTATCATGGAAGTCAGTGATGTGTCACCCAAGCACTCGACGGTTGATGCATACGTGAAATATGAAACTTTTTCGTCGACTTCTCGAAGTTGGGTAGCAGCCGCTAATTGCCTCCAGCAAATTTAGCAAATGTCATCTGATGCAACAAGTCTACCTCTCTAAGTAGACGCCATTCAGAAAAAGATCAGTACTCGATAATGATAATAAAAAATATGTATCAGCAGACTGGAGTTTGTCCCTTATTCATCCCTGGGAAGCAGAGCAAAATACACCAAGAAAACACGGCCTCAAATACAGGAATACAGGAAATACATAATAAGAAGTAGAACCAGGGCATCCTCACACTACGGCGGGCAGAGCCCATCCTCCTCCCCCAGCGCGAACGTCGTGCACCAGACATCAGGCGTGTTGCAGGAGCAGGAGGCCGTGTGCGTGCTCGGTCCGTCGACGAAACCCTTCTGGCACGTGAAGACGACCTTCGCGCCTTGCGGGGCTGGATGCTCCCCGTTCCAATCCTCGAAGGACTCATTCGCGTTCTTCATCTTCGGGTAGTCCGTCAGGCACAGGACTGGATTCGTTGCAAGGGCACGAGAAACACCAGGATCATTGGCCTTCGATGCAGGCAGCGAAATTAACATTGACCCAGTCTTGACATTTTACTAATGACACTTGGGGCGCACGAATGGCATCCGCTTTTTAATTGCCAGGCAAAAGAAGAGATTCCGGTTGGCATCAGAACAGGTGTGACATTCCCACATTATGGGCACCCCATCCACAGTTTTATTGTCGGACTTGCGGGTAGCTCACGGGAGAGTCTGAGTCCGTGGCAAGAATGAGTCATTTCCAATATTTCCTTTACCCGTATGAACTTAAATGGTCCAACGTTTGTAGGAAGTTGGAAAAGGGAGGATAGCTGAATTAAGGTTTTTAAAGATATTGCCACCGCTTTCTCATCTAGAAGACGTTCCTTGAGATACTGATGCCTCAAAAGTCGCAACTTAAAGAGGATCGCATTAGTCAAAAAGCGGTGGCTTAGCCTAACAACGAAACATTTTTTACTATACGAAACTCAACACCCATAACCCGAAATTTTGCCCTTCTTACGACGTATGATCGTGCTTTACTAATTTCTTAGAAAAAATATCGGGAAGAAACTTTTTCTTTTTAATCGAGAAGGCTTCGCTAGAACCGTAACGTAAAAGGAAACAAAGATTTCAGGTCCAGGACATTATGCGACCTGATCCCACGGCTGGATCTCACTCACATTGAACGAACGCCTGGAACCCTTCCGCAGGGACGAGCTGGCTGCTCCCCCCGTGCAACAGTTGGCAAGTGCCATCCGACTCCCTGTAGTTGAAGGCGAGGCACGGCTGGGACGGGTTTTCCATCTTGCATTCGTTGGTGCATCCCACTATATGCGCCGCAGAGACCTCCTGCGACGCGTTCGCATATCGTTCTC